CCTTTTTCTCTCTCTAGATTTCTTTCGTGGAGTTTCTGGTTCAACAACCCATAGGCCGGACCACACTGAGGGTAACACGAATCAAAATTGGTAGAGATTTTAGTCATAGATAATAAATCATTCCAATTTGATATTTGAGAGGAGGAAGTCGGATAGACTGAGATTTTTGTGAAAATGGAGGGTTTCAAGACGACAATCTTCCTGGGAAAGGCAAAGGGTTGATTGGTTGTTAATGGCACTGGAGGAATTTTATTGGCAGAAATGGAAAATATCCCAATGGGCAAAACACTTCGTTAGTCGGAATCACAAATTTCGGATCTCCTTCAAAAGCAACAAAGAGGTCTTTATCTAGTATTTTCAGTGGTATGGGGAAGAAATGCGAAGAAAATATTTATTCTGGAAGGCTAGAAGGGAAGGGGATGGTGGCTTTTCATGAACGCAACTTTCAATTTGGCAGAACGTCTAGTGGTTAATCCTGAGTCGAGTGTTAAGCCGAAGAAGAATGTTGAAACTGCAAATGTTCATGGGCAGTCTGCACCGTGGAAGGCTATATTCAGCTACCGCATTGCAAGGTGCCTATCCATGTCTTAGTGGTGGTGGCCGTCACTTAGTCTTACGCGGCGACACTAAAATCTCATGATGAAGAAGCAAAGGATGTGAAGCGGGTCGGCAGCCGGAATCCAATTTGGGATTGGGTCGAAGTTCGGGGTAGATTAACTCGAAAGGGCTATGTAAAAACTAGGCCTACAACTTATGGGTAGGCCAATGATTTCATATTTGAGAACCAAATGGAAGGAGAAGGGATGAGTCAGTCTGGGACACTGGATTAGATCCTAAAAATAAAAGAAAATTTATGCAGGAGGAGAAAGAGAAATGGCTCATGGAGCCCAAATAAAAAAAGCTCGAACTTGTCTATACCCCGCCTGTTAATAAAATGGGGTGGCGACCTTTGGGTTGTATACACACACGCAAGGAATCCTCAGGTCAGAAAAACCTAGGGTTCGTCCCGCAACAAGTCGAGGCCAGAGACTCCCTGGTCGAGAAGGAGGAGGCCAAGGGGAGAAGCTCGGATGAGAAGGAATCAGCAAAGAGGCACTTCAGAAGAACCCACACAAAACAGGTAGATTGATGATATTTCTTATGTTTCAGAAGGTGAACGAGATGAGTTAGCAGAACTTGACAGCATGATGAAAGTGAAAATAGGGAAGTTGGGTTGGCTATGGTTTTGGTGGAGGATACAAGCCAGACGATCAATATGGTACCAAACTTAGAAATTGAGGAGATTTTGTCATTAACTCTGGATGGCATTGATCTGGCTGAGGAGAATGGAGTTGGTAGCTCACTGATGCAAATAAGTCTAAAAACACTCAAGATACTCAAAGAGCATCAAAAGGTGACTTGGA